ATATACTATTTTAGGCAGCTGATTCTAAGCACTGCTGTCCATTGTTGGATCTTAATTTTTCTTTCTTTCTTTCTTTCTTTCTTTCTTTCTTTCTTTCTTTCTTTCTTTCTTTCTTTCTTTCTTTCTTTCTTTCTTTCTTTTTCTCAAGTTTATATAGCTGCCAATCTCATGAATGTGACTTTGGGTGGCATACAATACAAACCGAACAATTAAGAAATAAGTATAAATAAAACCACGGGAGGGTATCTTCAAGGCCCTACATGCAACATAATCATTTCGTGGACTCCCTAAGTCCAAATTTAAGTTAATTTTCGAAAAATCAGTAGAGTAGAGGCCAATCTCGCTTGGGTGGTGGAGGTGAGGGATATAATGTTCCACAGGGCAGCTGCTTGCCTTCCCTGTCCTGTCAGATGCCTCTCCTGCTTAATCTGATGAGATAGGTAAATGTGTCTAGGAAAGGGGTCCCTGATATAACTTGGTTCCATGCCAGGAAGGTTGCAAAGACCAAAACGAGCACCGTGAACTGAACCTTAAGCAGATTGGCAACCAATGCATCTTTGGAGCAGAGGTATGATGTATACAGTGCCGGAAGCATACCTAACTACGTGCAATGCCACATTTTGCACGAGTTGAAGTTTTAAGGCTCCAGATATTCTCCAGCCCCATGGAAAGTGCATTATAATAGTCCAATGTTTCCAAAACTTTTTTCTTCATTATCCAAAACTGCTAATCAGAAAGTTCTTTTATCTTAATATAAGTAAAATCTTTTAAGTCAATTTAAATATCCAATCTGTTGTGATTGGATAATAGGTTTGTGTGTCCCTTAAAAAATGCCACTTTTACCCAGGTTTGGGAAACACTGAAATTGTCTGTTTGGAATGTGACCACAGCATGAATAACTGAGATAAAACCTTATTATTATTAGTAGTAATAGTAGTAATAGTATTATCCTTACGATTGGCACTTGGACAGTTTTAAAAACATATGTTCCCATACTAAAGTAATATTTATAAAACATTAAGATCCATCCATTTGGATGTAGTCAGGAAACAATTCACATAGAAGATAGCATGTTTTTTCAAAATTATAGTAATATGCATGTAATAAATTACATTCATAATGTGAGACTCTATTCTCAAATGATCAGAGGAAAACAACCTGAAAAAAAAACAACTGCCAAAGCAAGAATAAATGGAATCTGGATCTTGCATCCAAAAGAGGAGGTCTTTCTCAAACTTGGTGCAAATTTATTTTCTGTTTTGTCCATAGATCATGTACCCTGAAAGCATCAGGTTGGTGAATGCTGCTTTTATGCATGCAAATAGTCTACTTGGATTGCTGCCCATATTTTAAGCATGGACATTAATGTGTTCGTGGGAAAGGGAAGGTTCAGGGAAACTGAAGGAATAAATTCTGAGTTGCCTATTTGTTGCTTGGAGGTAGACACACACTCTTCACAATAATTTATAATTTCTTCTATTTGTTCAGATTCTATGTACTAATTAAATATTTTTTCTATACATTGTTGTATAAAGCTACAAGGTATAGGTGAACAATTATGAGGACACATGTAGCACCAGATGTCTGTCAGTCCATCCCTCACCCACCCACCCATCCATCCAATCTTGAATGATTTCAAACTTTCAAGCTTCTGCACTTCCAATCATAGCTGGGCAATTATTTTGCCCATGAACGTTCCATTCCTTAAACCAGGGGTCTTCAAACTTGGCCCTTTTATGACTTGTGGACTTCAACTCCCAGAATTCCTCAGCCTGGCTGAGGAATTCTGGGAGTTGAAGTCCACAAGTCATAAAAGGGACAAGTTTGAAGACCCCTGCCTTAAACCCATAAAACTAACCAACCATACCTGAGACTTCTTCAACCAGCTTTTCATCTTTATACCAATTGATGTTTGGAATGTGTACACCATCCACCTTGCAGCGCATCTCTATAGAATCACTCACATTTACCAGGATGTTTGACAGATTCTGTTTCAACTTGGGCATCTCTAAAGCTAAAGCAATAATATTAAGAGAACATAAATGAAATGCAAGAAATGTGGGAATAAAGAACAGGTACCCTGTATGGTGGGAACTGAACACTTCCTTGAAGACAGCATGTTTCAAACTGCGTAAAGGTAGATAATCAAAAATGAACCTTGGCCGTGGCAAATCAAAGGAAAGGTTGCTCTTATTCCATAAAGCATTTGTGCCATTTCTAGTATACTATGTGATAAAAAGGGGCCAATTAAAATAACTTTCAGGTGATCGAAACCTTAATTTGCTTTGAAAGCCAGTGGAAATATAACATTCCTGAACACTGTAACAGGCTGGATTTTTCCTTCTACTAATCTGTATAGCATTTTTTTCCTAAAAAACTGAATATCTGGCTGATTCTAATTATCCATGCATGATTCCCCTGGCACTTTTTCAATCTCAATATGTAATTTTTCCTCTCCCAAACTCCTTTTGTGATTGCTTTTTTGGTGACTGTTGTTCCTGTGCACAACTGGCTATGTTGCTCCAATCTAGTAGTAACATTATAATTGTTACCAATGCAAGTGGCAAGAAAACAGAATCTGTTTTATAATATTTTCCCTTATCTTCTCTTTTCACCAAAGAAATTCGCAGGGAGGAAATCCATGGTTGCTCTTTTTTCATTGTGCAACATGAACGCATAGAGGAAAATTAAAAAGTCATTGGATTCTTCTGCATGCCTAAGCATCTGTTATCCAACTTTAAAAGAAAGCGACATAAAATGGCATTTTTTTCTCCCCCCCTGCAATTACTGCCTTATAGGTAACCTGTAGCATGTGTACATGCTATAAATACAAGTTTTGAAATACATACCACATATTTCTCTCTCATACACGAATAGTATCCATTAATGATAAGACAATATTATCCATATCGTGACAAATATTGCACTGCTTTCACTGTTGGTGATTTCTTAATATAGTAACATATGTTGACTCATATCTTATAAGTGTATATTTTCACCAGGGTTTCCTCCTTCAACTAGGATTGATAATCGACTTTGAATTGTGATTTTGTGAAGCAGAAATTCTGGGTTGTCACTAACATTATCAAAGAAGTTATCATGCTTAAGCTTTTTATGAAATAAAATTTGAACAAGAAATTTAATGAGTCTATTACCAAGCAAGCCTCCTCAGTTAAATCTGAATTTAAATGACTGCCAATGCATTTTGGGAAATGGTATAATTCTGGACATTTAAGATCACATCAATTCACAAGACTTGCTTTGAAATAATCAGGGAGACATATACTGTACTTGGACAGCATTTTATTTGTCATTTCAGACATTACTTTTTCCCTCAGCATATCTACTTGCTATGAGGCCTCAGATTATTTCCATCATCAGAAATCAAATTCCAACTGCCTCAAGTCTCCAAGAATCATCTATGTTCCATAAAGAAGTATTTGGAGAGAGATCGGTAACCCAAAGGTTATCTTCTGGCCATTTCAATCCAGAATAAATCTGATTGGTTAGAATTCTCCACAGTGTTATCTGTGGCCAATTCATCTTTAAGCGTAACAAGGTTTTTCTGTAAACTTGACTTTCTCAGTGGTCCTTACCATGTACAGAGATGTATCTTTTGTGGCAGTGTTTTTCATTGTTTTCTCTGTTTTGCACTTCACATACATAGTCTCCTTCGTCTTCTAGAGAGATACTTGGGATGGTGAGTGTCAAAGCAGCATAATTGGAGTTAGGTTTGAAAGTCAGTTCACCTTGCAGCTTCATTGCATAGTGGTGGACATTCTTGCAATCCAGGACCAGAGGGTTGCCCTCTTCATAATTTAATCTTGAGAGATTGAGCCGGTACCACTGCAGGTTTTCATAGGTATAGTTATCGGCATTGCAACTTAGTGTCAGGTCTTGTCCCTCAATGGGCTCCTCAGAAGGCTCGGACTCAATCTCAAATCCATTTGGTATGGCTGCCAAGAAAACAAGAAAAGAAAAACAAATATTCAGTCACTAAAACAGATGTGGGTTCACTAATGCTAAAGCGCCTGTTTCTAATCCTGTGTATACAATACTACTGCCCTTATTTATTTTAGGTTACATGTTTTACCATTGTAGCAAATCACTTAGCATTTTACACATTTATTTTAATACATGACCAACCAAAGATCTCTGAAATTTGGGCCTCAAATATTCTGGTTGCACTGTGGCTTTGCTTTGTACTTGTACACACACACACACACACACACACACACAGAGAGAGAGAGAGAGAGAGAGAGAGAGAGAGAGACAGACAGACAGACAGACAGAGAATTGTGGAGTCCTTGGTACTCTGTGAACTTGGTTGTTTGCTTGCAGGCATTTCATTACCCAAGTAGGTAACAACATTAATGCTAGTAAGTGTAGGGTTTGCTTCTTGATTATATACAGTAGTTTGCTCCGCCAGTGTTGGTGGAGGTGTGGTTTTCTCCTTGATTAGGGTATTGTTTTCTACTTGATTGTTTGTATAATGTTAATCCCACTTTATCTGGGTATTAGGGAACAAACCCCACACTCACTAGCGCTGATGGTTTTTGTTGGGTAATTAGTTGTTTACAAGCAAACAGCCAAGCTCACAAAACATCAAGGACTCTGCAGTTCAACCCTGAGCTATATATAGTCTCGTCTGTTGGAAAGATAGAATTGAAATAAATTATCCATAAACAACTCTAATCCAGGCAATGATGAATGAATTACTATGTTATATAGCTACAGCTTCACATTGAAATAATGTCAAGTTCTGTGAAACTAAAGGGAAATCCATTTACAGGCATTATAGGGTAGTACTGATTAATAGTTCAAATTAAAATCAAGTCCTACTATCTCATTGGCTAAAATCATATAACATGCTTATCTCAAATCCTAATTATGAAAACACAGTGGTTGTATTCACATAATACTCCATGCCCAAATTTCAGTTATGGCTTAACATGATTGCCTGCTCAGTTAACACAATGGCTAGGTTTACCACTGCACTCTGAAACAGAAACCATTAAACCACATTTTAGCTTAGCTTAGTGGTTGTGCGAACTGCTGTCTGTCTGTCTCACATTTGTTCCATTAGTAAACAAAGATGTTTTCTAGAAATCCTAGGGATTCAAGGAGCAAAATTCAAAAGGTCAGCTTCTAAAATCGGAATTATGCAGATTCTATTCAATAGGCAGGGCACTAGGTGGTGCTACTGTACCAGAAACGCTTGGGAATGGGCAATGCCAGCTTTTTAAGATAGACAACCTAAAGGTGTGTGTTGATAGAAGAGCAAATCTTCTCTTTCCTTGCTCTAAAACAGAGCTCTTCAAACTTGGTCCTTTTGTGACTTGTGGACTTCAACTCCCAGAATTCCTCAGCCAGTGTGCCTAGCTGAGGAATTCTGGGAGTTGAAGTCCACAAGTCATAAAAGGGCCAAGTTTGAAGACCCCTGCTCTAAAACATCTGTTTGCTTTTCTACCTCACATGACTTTCAACGTATAAAGTCTTAAATATTTTGTCATAGATGTCTTCGTTCAGATAAAGCACTTTAAAATACAAACTGCAAATTCAAATGTATAGATTTTATAAAGTGAAATTTTCAAAAGTCCAAGTTTTAAAATGAAAATTTCAACAAATTTTGGTTCTGATAATGATTTGGACTAGCAAATAATAAATATATGTTTTAACTCTCTGAATTGCTTAATTATGAAGACACAATACCAGACATACTTTGATAAACAATCTCCATTCAGTGGTTTCAAAGAGTTTAAGGAGTCTTTAAAATTCTTTAAATCCTTTAAATGTTATATAACAAGTTGTTTAAGTGAATTCTGTTTTAAGATACTCACTTGTTACATAAAAGTAAATCAATCGTTCATCACGACCTACTTTGTTGGAGGCTACACACTTATACATGACAGAAACATTGGCTTCTTGGATAATTAAGTTGCTGATGGTCTGGGGAAAAAAAGAATATGAACAAATATTTTTTTAAATATTGTTTTTAGCCTGTGTTTATTATTATTTTTTATTTTATTTATTATTAAATTTATATGCCACCCATCTCACTGTTACAGTGACTCTGGCGGCCTATAGCATAATAAAAAGATAACACAGAAAACAAATCAATTGAAATTAAGAAATATTAATAAAGGCTAAAAAACCAAAAGGATGGGCAACATTAGGTGGGGATCTTCTATCTCATCAGCCACCTTCAACATAGTATACCCCTATTGGGGCACCTGGTTAACTAGCAGAACCAGGTTTTAAGGCTCTTTCTGAAGGCCAGGAGTTTATAAAGAACTCAAAGTGGCATACGTACCTAAAATTTCTTCCTTCTCCTATTTTTGTCACAACAACTCTGGGAAGTGAGTTGGTCTGAGAGAGAATGACTGGCTCAAAGTCACACAGCTGGCTATCATGATTTAAGGTGCGGCTAGAACTCGCCGTCTCCCACTTTTTAGCCTGATGCCTTAACCACTAGATCAAACTGTATTGTAACTCCAAGTTTTTCACTTGGAAAGATATAGGGCTTTCAACATTTCTTACACATTTTTAAAGAAGATTACTATCCTACTAGCACTTCTTTCCCGTGGAAAATTACACAATAAATTCACTTAATGTTCATGCCACCTGTCCCCACAATGTTCTGTTTCTTTTATCTCTGCATTCAGTTTTATTGGACCTATGCTCAATATGACTATTCTCCAATAATCTGCTGCTGCTGAGATGCTGCTGTTGCACTGAAATATTCTCCTCATTGAAACAGCAAAATACATTCACAAACCTTTTCCCTATTTGCAGGGGACTAACACAGAAGAAAATGTAATAGGGAGAGAAATAAAAAAATCACAGTCTTTTCTTCTTAAGGAAAGATTACAGATCAAACATCTTCATCACAGCAGGAGAAAGAACAGATGAAAAATATAATAATAATAATAATAATAATAATAATAATAATAATAATAATAATAATAATAATAATAATAATAATAATAATAATAATAATACAGATCGCCATTTGGAACACAACACGCCAGATATCGCAGTTGTAGAGAACTGAAGCGTACAGTTGATTGATATCGCTGTACCAGAAGATGCCAGAGTCAAAGAAAAATAACTGGAAAAAAATACGAAATATCGCGACCTGGCCATCGAAACTGCGTGATTATGGATGAAACGTGTAACAGTGATACCAATTGTCATCGGGGGACTGGGAACTATGTCCAAAAACTTTGCAAAATACATCAAGAAACTGCAATAACTCCAGCAATGTTACAACAAACTGTGCTACTTGGAACATCTTATATTTTAAGGAGGTACCTGGTTGACACCTAGGATCTGGTAACGATCCGTGTCAACCATCAGTGCCAGCCAATTTGAATGTTCAGTTGACTGAGGTTCATGTTTAATGAAGAAAAGATAATACTAATAATACTACTAATAATACTACTAATAATAACAATAATAATAATTTGGAAGGGACCTTGGAGGTCATCTAGTCCAATCCCTGCTCAGGCAGGAAACCCTATAGCATTTCAGACAAATGACTGTCCCGTCTCTTCTTAAAAACTTCCAGTGTTCGAGTATTCACAGCTTCTGGAGGCAGATTGTTCCACTAATTAATTGTTCTAACTGTCAGAAAATTTCTCCTTAGTTCTAGGTTGCTTCTCTCCTTGATTAGTTTCCATCCGTTGCTTCTTGTCCTGCCTTCAGGCGCCTTGGAGAATAGCTTGACTCCCTCTTCTTTGTGGCAGTCCCTGAGATATTGGAACACTGCTATCATGTCACCCCTCGTCCTTCTCTTCATTAAATGATGATGTCTGCTCTTGACTTTTGCAGAATATACAGAGTAGTGGGCAGATTCAACATGTAATATACAAAAGGCAGAATGCTAATTTAAATTATAAATTATAAATGTAATGGTCCAGGACATATAAACAAACGTAGGTTCTGACATATCCTACTATACTAATATTAAATTTGATAAATCTCCATTGAAGATTCAGGTGGATTGGCACATTGGACAATGTGTTCCAGATACAGAAGTTGTATGAATACTCTAGTGCCAGAGTTTAAATAACAAAACAATTGTAATTAGTTAATAAGATAATGGAAGCTCACAATGGATGCATAACCTGGATAGCTGTACTGTTTTTATTCTGTACTTCTGAGATAAAAATGTGTTTCACAAATAAGGTAATATATTGTTGTTAACTTCTTCACATTATTAAAGAAATATGAAAAGTTCACCTTTGCTTTCTTTTTCATTATGTCTGTCAACAACCGAAATATAGCGATTAGTGAAGGATAGCTTTAGTGACAAACATCATAGTTTCTCCTAGCATCATGAAGATATGAAAAAGTCCAGAGAATAGTCAGGAAATTCATGAAGCTAATGAAGTTTTGTTCCAAAAAGCATCTAGAGAAAAGATTGCTTGGAACAACTGTGCAGAGGAAAATACTATTTTCAGAAGGAAAATAGAGTTTATTGAACATTTTATTGAAATCAAATTTTATTTAATGTATAATTAAAATAATTGATTTCCTATTTTCAGCCTTCTATGAGCCCTTCAACAACTAAACATAATTACACACTCTCATAAACAACAAAAAAGTAAAATATTTGCGTGATTCCTATGCTCATTCAATATAGTCCAACATTTTAATATATTTTGATCCTTCCAGATCTCTAATACTGAATATTTAAAATTCTCAATAAATCTTTCCTAACTAATTCTGTAATGCATCAAACTTTATTTATTTTGATAAATATTGGTAAGTGTAAGCAAAAATTATTTTAATGGAGAAAATCTTTTACTACTTTAGTTATGTGGTGTGATTCAACAGTGGTAACATCATAAAGGGGCAGTTGCCCATTATTTTATTTTAGTACTTCTTACATTTTTAATTAAAAAATTATCTTGCTTTCTCATGCAAAGAATCACCCAAGACTATGAGTAATAAAACATATTGAAATGGAATTACGTTTGAATAATAGGAAAAAAAAATAGTTTTGGAACTCACAAATTTGCCACATTTTTAAAAAATGGCTGGGGAAACATTGAGATTATTATTGCTACAGCCGATTAATCAGTGGTGGGATTCAGCCAGTTCGCACCACTTTGGCAAACCGGTAGCTAATTTTTTGTTGCCCAAGCCTAGAATGAACTTCCGGAAGCAACATCCACACGGAGAACTGGTTGTTCATATATTTGAATCCCACCTGCCATTAATCATTAATCATTAGTTAAATTTATATGGTTGCCCATCTCAAAATACATTACTCTGGGCAGCTAACAACACTTGAAAACAAAATAAAAGCAATATAATAAAATTATTTGAGGGATAATCTGTAAGCCAGAAGTTTACTCCCTTTCTTTCCATTCCTCCATAGAAATATACCTTTCATCACATCACACTAATAAACATATCTTCCTGTATACCACAGTATTAACAATGTACGTAATATAATGTCAAAATAAAACAATAAGACTGGAAAATCCACATACTAATACAATTCTCCTGTTTGTTTGTAATCGTCAATTAGCCAAAAGAGTGCATCATATAAGAAACAATTTTAAAGCTAGGTGCCTTAAGTGGACTTAATAATAATAATAATAATAATAATAATAATAATAATAATAATAATAATAATAATAAAAAAGTTGGAAGGGACCTTGGAGGTCATCTAGTCCAACTCCCTGCTCAGGCAGGAAATCCTATACCATTTCAGACAAATTGCTGTCCAGTCTCTTCTTAAAAACTTCCAGTGGTGGAGCATTCACCACCTCTGGAGGCAGGTTGTTCCACTGGTTAATTGTTCTAACTGTCAGGAAGTTTCTCCTTAGTTCTAGGTTGCTTCTCTCCTTGATTAGTTTCCACCCGTTGCTTCTTGTCCTGCCTTCAGGCGCCTTGGAAAATAGTTTGACTCCCTCTTCTTTGTGGCAGCCCCTGAGATATTGGAATACTGCTATCATGTCCCCCCTCGTCCTTCTCTTCATTAAACTAAACATACCCAATTCCAGCAGCCTTTCCTTATATGCTCTGGCCTCCAGTCCCCTGATCATCTTTGTTGCTCTTCTCTGTACTCTTTCTAGAGTCTCAACATCTTTTTTACATTGTGGTGACCAAAACTGGATGCAGTATTCCAAATGTGGCCTTACTAAGGCATTGTAAAGTGGTATTAATACTTCACATGATCTTGATTCTATCCCTCTGTTAATGCAGCCCATTACTTAAATAATGTGTCCAAATCCAAAAAAGACCCATTACTCCTGTGGAACTGAAATCTGAAGGAACGTCAAACCAATTGTATTCACAAACCTGTGACCTTTGCAGATCTGGTATGCTGCCATGGTTAACTGTGGTCAGGTGATTGTGATTTTTAATCCTGTCAGCATCCCACAAGTAAAGTCAGTGGGGAAGCTGGCAGGAAGTCAAAAGCTGATCCTGGTCCCTCTGCTTTTTTGCCCACCTGTGGTCATTCTGTTTAGGTAAGGAAACAGCTATGAAAGAATGACCCAACAAGTCATGGGTCATCTTGTTATATCTTAAAAAACAACTGCAAACTAATTTTGGCCAAATTGTTAAAAACTATTTTTCCTTTCTATTTTGTAAAAAAACCCGCACGAATAAACAAGTCCTAACAAATAAAGAACCTCAACGCAAATGTTGGAAAACAATTTAGATCATCAAGCTATTGCTAGAGATTAGGTACAGTTTTCTCCTTTCAAGGTCATATAATATTTTGTAGACAATGTTAGGCCTCCAAAGTCCTGATGTCTTGCTAAATTGCAAATGCATGCATCAGAACTGCAAGATATTTTTAAATCTTTATGCATCTGCTTCTTTTTTCACTTTCTATCGGTACAGGATGGAAATGTAGACACTACAATGTGCCAGATAATTATTTGGGACAAATAAAAAATCGAGAAGAGAAATGTAGCAAATGACTATTCAGAGTAGTATTTCCAAATCCACTTCTTTTTTTCTTCAGATAAACTTTGGAAAAACTTGGCATAAATCAATTTGAATTTTCCTTGGCATAATTCAGATCGAAGCAGAACAAGAACATGGTTCTTTCCTTCCTATCATCATTTCTCACCTTTTTGTGAGGAATTCATGACTGTAGTACTTGAACAGGAAGTAATCATGGAGGGACATATGAAAACAGGAAGTGACTTGAGGAAACTGTTTGTTCTTTTGCCTGCATCACTATCATGGGCACAGTTTGGTAGCTGACACTGTCAACCAGAATAGGAAACTAGTCACAGAAGGGCATGCATGATCCTAGTGCTTTATTATATTTACCAGCATAGTGAAAAGAAACAACTTTTAAATGCAGGCTATTTTTTTAAAGAAAGTAATAGATAAAATTAAAGATAAAATTAAAACCTCCCTAAAAGAAATGATGGATGACGTCCATTGGAGATTCACTGGAATGTCTCACATTCCAAAATAACATCTCACCAACAAAACCATTTGTTCAAAAATATACTGGCCATGATGATGGAAAATTAAAATCAGTTTTAAGGCTGATGTAAGCTTATGTGTAGGTGTGATATATAGAACAGTGGAGAATAATAGACAGGAGGAAGTGAAGAGCTATTGCCTGTACTTTTCACTCCTTAAATAAACAGAAAATCATTTTCTGTATATAATAGATTTGCTGACGTTGTATTTGCCACAGAATTCTATTGTATTGAGGAAGCAGGTTACAACTCAGTGAATATATATGCTGCAAACATAAAGTTCCCTTTTTGAA